ACAGCAGAAGACCCCACTTTCTTCCTAGAAAATCAATTGTGTGGTTTGAGCAATGATTTCTTTCTTTCTGTGTAATAGGGATGGGCTAGTTTGTCAGGAGAGGGACAAACAGCATGAGAGAAATTAAAATAGTGTGGGAGAGGAGTAAACCAAAAGGAAAGTAGATTCAAATAATAAGGTAGAATTAAGTAGAGATAGAATAAATCAATCCATATATAGAAATAATTTAAGAGCACCCAGCTGTAGCATCGTGATTTTTTTTTTTTTTTTTTTTTTTTTTCCCTTGAGTTTTATGTCTTGTTCTGCTACAAGTGTAGTTTGGACAAATACAGGGGTTTTTGTTATTTGGCCAGCCCTTGCTAAAGCAGTCTCAGACCTGACGGATAGATTGGGGAGGGAGCAGGAGCTGCTCTTACTGCGTTACGTGTCTGAGGAGCACCGGGTGATGCAAGGAGGATGGTGAGTGCGGCAGTTTCCTTAGGCTGTCCCTTCCATGCGCTGTAAAATTAATGTACAAGCAGTACATCTGTGCTTAGGGCTCTGTGTTTTTATTTCAGCGATGCACAGAAACGTATTCAAAGCTTTTTTTAAAAGAATCTCATTAATTGAGGACTTAAGTTCTGGCTTTTAAGAGTCATGGCTATTTATGAGCTGCTTGTAACAGACTGCTTCTAGCATAAGTGATCCATATACTAGATGTTGTAATACCAAGGCAGCACTAAGTGAGAAAGTAGCTATTTTTTCTTTTAACAAGAATTTAGCTCTTAATTGTGGTAGTTTTTGTGGGCGGAATCTGAAATATCAGAGAAGAATAGCAGTGCACAAGCTGATGCTTCATGTAGTTATTTGGTGAGGTTAAAATGATAGAAATTCCTGTCTTGTCATTCAAAAGGCTAAAAATGGTCCAGACCACCAAAGTAATTTTTTTTCTTTTTTCTTTATAATTTATGCTCTACAGATGCTTACGGTAATGAGTCAGATGTAATTTCAGTGACTATCCATCTTGGCTCTGTTCTCCGCTTGCCCTTGGTAGCTAAAGAAATCAGTGTAACCATGGAATAATATTAGTTCTTCCAAAACTGAATGCAACTCAGAGTTAAAACTACTCCCCCAGATGCTGTAGTGGAACAGCTGCTGGAATATCACAGCTAGAAACGCTACCTTGTGATACGGTTTGTTCTGGACATAGCTCTTGTCCTTTGTAGCAGCTGGTATAATCTGTATCAGAACTGTAGCTCAAAATCTTGAGGATCAAGTATCTTCCCAGTTCAAGCAGTCTGTCCTCAGTGAGTTAGTTTTTCTTTTTAGGTTGTTATTGTGCACACAGTACTGTTGTGCTAACTCAAATATCAGGGATTTTTAGTCTCTGTTACCTTTTCAAGTCCTGTTTGCCCTGAGTTTCCCTGTCCAGGCTGACCAAAACAATGATACTAAAGTTACATTCTGTTTGCTTTTTACTCCTAAAAATTCCTAGATTTTTTTTTTTTCTATTCACTGCTTAGTCTCACTGCTGAGGACACACCCAGTTCCCTTTCTAGTCAGAGCTCTGATAGTTTCCTTTTCTGTTCCTTCCAAACTCTACTTTTCCCCTAATTTTTTTTCCACTTTGCAGTTGAGAAGATGACAACTGTCTTTTGACCAAATGTAAATAGTGGAATATGGAATCTGAAAACATAAGTCATTGTGTATGTAATACACATTCTTAGTGGTTACTCACTGATAATATTATTCCAGAAAAGGTAGCTTTGTAAGCATAACTAATGAAAATTTGTTTCCTACAGTCTTTCATGTAATGGTTGATTAACTTTGGTATCTAAAATATACTGTCCAGTGTAATCTTTTCTCCTGGACAGACCATTTGTGAGGAGCTCTCCTATATGGATTTATCTGATGAGAACTGTGCTCACACTCCATTTTTCTTCAGCAGGGAACTTAGGAAGTCTTTATTGCCTGCCTGGTTGTCTAAAACTTTTAGACACTTAAATATTTCTGCCCTCAGTGTCAGAGTTGATTAAATGACCAAACATTCTGGTTCACGAATTACTGAAGTGTGACTACAGAGAAATACAGAAATAGGCGAAATGATGTTATTTTTCTTGGAAACTTTGCAAAACCCAAAACCGTTTCATTTGTAAGTAGACTTCAAAGCTATAAAATGTTTTCTGGCTCTGACCTTTGAATTGGTATAGCATTAAGATAGCTTTGTCATTATTTTGGCTGAATGAAATCAGCATCTACAGCTTGACAGGATTTCTCTGTACCTGTCTATGTGAAGCTTCAGTAACTTCTGAAAAATGTCCAACCAGCTCAGGAATTTCAGGAGTTATTTTAAGGATCAATGAGGAGAACTTGGGTTGTGATGTTGACAATGCAAGAGAGAGAGGGGGAAGGAAAAAAAAAAACAAAAAAAAAAAAACAAAAAAACCAACCAAAACAAAACCCCAAAAAACAACCAAACAAAAACAACCCCAACAACAACAAAAAATTAAAAAAGAGAAAGTCCTGCTTGTGATTTGACCACTATGGGCATGAGAGAGGAATCTTCGATTTAGGATGAGAATTCAGATTAGTACACCCTTTGCTCTGCCCAGTTCAGGCCTTGCTCTTTGAAGCTCTTCACTTTCAACTGGGTCCTGTTAATTTTCTAGGCATATTGGGCATACGTGTGCTGGATTGAAATTAATTAGCTTGCTTATTGGTGTTAACCTACTGCAGTATGGAATTTAGTTTGGGCTAGCTTGCCTGTTGAGCATTGCTCAACCCAGGCCGAATTCATGGCTGGTGGTAGGAACCTGCTACTTACACTACAGATAGGTATTTTACAGCTAGTTCGGTCTAAATACTGTTGCAGTGTTTGCAGGATAAATGTGCATGTACAGAAGCAAGGTTCTGGTTAAAAGACAGAACTAACTTTCCTGAGTGAATTAATATAAAGCCTTGCAGTTTCCCTGTGATTTTTTTTTGACTATGTAGCAAATACTTTTAAAATCCAACCTGATACAAAGTCCTTGCATGTTTTTACTTCACCTGAGGAATGGATGTGAAGAACAGGACCCCTTTCCCGCTAAGTCCAGATGGATAATATTTATTGTTCTATGACTTAATTTATTTTTGAGTTCAGTAACAGAACTGAATTTGAAAACTAAAAGAGTTTTAGTACTTGGATAAAACATTTTCAGTTCAGGACCCCAATTGTTTATTTTGTTTTCAATCCTAGTACCCAGTGAAATTTCTCTGTTTATTTGAAAGACAGCCGTGATGGTGCTGCAAGAGAGCACAATGTTCTTTTGGGGATAAGAGCCCCCCTCCTGTGCTGCTTATAACAGCTCATTTTGTCCTTTTTCAATATAGTAATTTTAGTGCTTTGGAACTTTATGGTAGTTATCCTGAATAACAGTTTCATATTTCCAAGCACAGTCTGCAGCTGCCAGGAAAAATAAACTTGCATTTTCAGCTCATTCAGAGCAACTGTAACTAGGGGTATTTTAAACTGGGGGCAAAACTAAGAGATTGGAAAATAGAGCTTGGGCTGGTAATTCCAGGGCATCCTGAAATACCGTTTTTATCAAGCTATACTTAAAGTGCTAAAGATTATTGAATCATGGCATAATGAGCCTTTAGTTTATAATTTTTGAAAGCTGTTTTCTTTCATCTAAGTATGCTTACTTTCCACTTATCCCAGTATCTCAAAACGTCTTTTTAATATTTTTCTGTAAAACAAGGGATTCCTACATTCTTTGGCTTAAGGTGTTTTCAGTTCTCCAGCTTTCTGAATTTCATAAGTCATTGTGTTAAAATCCTTACACCAGTTGATAATTGCAAGAAGGTTAAAGTGTGTTTTAAGCTCTCAATATACAGACACACAACTGTTCTTCCAGCTGCCACCCGTTTTCCATCTTCCACGCCTGCAAGCTTACCGATACCTTTTTATAGTTGTTGCTTTGAGGTTGTCTCTTTATCTGTACTAGGAGTGTCCTCTGGCCTGCCTTAATTCTAACCATCTCCTCTGAAATGCATTTATGCTGTGACCTAAGAACAGGGTAAAACCCGTCATGTTCAGGGATCGGTGTGGCTCGACAGATGCTTACATGTCCCCTACTGAAGTGTCAGACCTTCTTGGGTTGGTCTGGAAGATTTATTTCCTTGAGTTCAGTTCTGCATCACTTGTAAACTGAGCATTTTTTTTTCTGGAAGTGACAATGATTAAAAGACCTGGGAATAACTGATATACTGAGTAGTAAGTATGTATCAAAGTCAGAGCACATCTATCTGTTCATATTTATGAAGCCTTGCTTACTGCAAAGCTTAATAATTTAATCACTTACAAAAGTACGTTTCTCAATTTAAGAAATGGCCTTTCATTTAGGTATGTATAACGTACTCGGTATTTTTTTTGATTAGTGATGAATACTTCATACTTAGTAAATGGGTTAACATTTTCCACAACATTCAAGTGCCATGGACACTACATCATAATAACAATTAGTCCCTTACTCATCTGAATTATTTTTGTAAAGATTGCTGGATTACATCATTCTATTCACTTTCCACTTTTCATCTTGACTACTTCAATTGGATACGAGTTCTCAGAAAACCACAGTAAATAACATTTTTCTGGCTCGTCAACCACAAACTCATTAAGGAGGTAACTTTGTAAACCACAGCATTTTATTTTAAATTAATACATCAGACATAATTCAGAGGTACTTCAATTTAGAATTCCAGCGGGAGTTCCCACATAGTAAATTGCATAGTTGATGTATCTTGTGAAGTTTCCAGTAAGAAAAGCACTGCTATAACTTGATTTCATTTTGCTAATGTAGAATTTTGTCTTTATTATTTGTTAAATCAATAACATCGTCTGATCATAAATGCTCCAGAGTAGTAAATGGTATGAACTATTCAGATTTATTATTATTATTATTTAGCGTCATTCAGGTTTTTTTTTTTTTGTTCCACTTGTTTTTTACAAACAATCTTACAATTTTATCTTTTTCTAGATGTCCAGGGATGAGACCGTGTGTAAATACTGTGGAATCAGCTATTTGATCCTTCATGAATTTAAGGTGATGGAAGACAAAGTAAAAGCAATGGAAAAGGAGATTAAATTTTACGAAGGAAGCATAGAACGGGAAAAAGGACTTCAAGCAGAATTGCAGGCTCTTTACCAAGACCTTGAACACTATCGAGCTGACAGTGAATCAAAAACAGAAAGGTCAGAGCATATTATCTGGTCTGATGTTATTCTTGTGTATGTGTATTATGTAATTTAATTCCGAAGAAGTTTAAAACACAAGTAAGATTTGTCTGTCTTTTGTCAGATGTAACCTATATACTGTAATACTTAATTTAAATCATCTTTCATCATATTCTCTGGAAGCAAGTTTTAAATTCTGTAGCAGTTTAGAAACAGTCAATATATTTAAAGTGAAAGAATGGCCAGAAAGCAGTTTGGAGGTTTTTCCCCTGCACACACTCCCAAAGCAAAATGATCAAATGTTTAATCTTACTGTTTTGTAATAAAATTGTAACTTAAATTAAATTCCACAGTATTGGGAGTTTCATAGTTCTGAAATCTTTACTTACTGTCTCATAGTAACATGGTAAAGAATTACCAGCGTTCTTGCCCAGAGCGGCTTACGGTTCAGTCTCTGAAGGGATGATACGGAATACAAAGCACTTACAGCAATCTTGGGTACTGCTTGTGCTGTTGATCCTCAGGACCAGCAGTTTGCAAATGCTTCTTGGCAGGTATGTGAAGGTCCCAACTAAAGGGGGAGTTTGGGACTCTTAAGAACTTCAGTAGTTAACAGCAGGCCTTCAGCGACACATTTATGTTTTTCGAGCACTGTGATTAGAGTCTTTAAGTGAAATAATCTTTCAGCTCATACTTACAGGCTTTTTGTTGTGTTCAACTTCTTTATCGCATCATGATAACTTTAAACTTAGAACAGGAAATCTTACTTTGAAAATATTTGTACTTTTGATGGGTCTACAACCACAGCTTTGGTTCCTAAGCCTTCAGATTGGTATACCAAATATAAAAGTTCATTTTGGGGTAGGCGTGAGAAAACAAAGCATAAAAGGAAAGTTTCAAAGACTTTTTCCCCTCTGCCCGCCCTTCATTCATCATTTCTAATATTTGTCCTATTCGTTGGGCTTGCAGGAGAGGGTGTGATGGTAGCTATACCCAAACTAGCTTTAAAATACATGGCTGATTCGTGTACTCTGCGTGGCGTTACTGCGGCAGTCCAGACAGCAGCAGGCCTGCCGAGCCTGGTGTCCAGCCGTGGAAGGTTTTGTGCCACCGTAATTAGGGTGCCATCACGTTCTCGACCATGAACTTCAGGCTGGCTTGTTATCTTTGATTGGTCCATCCTCGGGGGTTATTTATAACGTATAAAGAACGTGGACTGAGAGGGAAATGGTTGTAGTCACTATGAACGTTTTATGATATAATTAGCAGTACGGGAGGTTTTTTTAGTCTTTGTTTTGCTGGAGGATTTCTGGATCCTAATTAACCTTTTGTTGCTTTTTTGCTGTTTTATGACACCGTGACAATATAACAAATTTCATAATAACAAATTGCATCTTTTTGGCACTGTTCTATGAAAGAGATACAGGTGTTGAAAACTGCCCTTCTGTTTTTTTCCTCTTGTTTTCTACTCTTCATCATCAGATTTAACATGGACGCTGTGTCCTGGTTTTCTCTATCCTAATTTTCTATCCTCATATTTTGGAATCTATTGTTATAGTCCACTGATTGTGTACAGTAGGGCTATAAACATTGAAACTTAGAGTTGGCTAATAAAAAGATACTTTATCAAAATGCAGTTGCTGAAGTTGACTACTGGTAGAATAATGTGGTACAAACAAGAGCATCAGAAACTTCTTGGTAATTCCTTGTGCATCTGAATCAAATGGTCAGAAGCTTTCTGTAAGAATGAGATTATAATTTTAATTATCAGCTCAGTCGGTTTGATTCTGAAGACCCCCAGTCAGGGTGTTTCTTGCATGACCGACTCATACCTAATAGCAGGTGATCTAGATCTGATAACATGGGGCATTTTGAATATTAAGGTGCTCTCAAGAGATTGGACTGGAAGGCTTTGGAAACACTACAGAAAAAACAACTACAGTTTGTGTATAGGTGAAGCACTCAAATCCATTTACTTTTTTTTGCGAATTACTCAAATACTGTTAAGAATTGAATGTTACTGTTACTGGATTTAGTTAGGCTTGTGTTGGGTAGTTTGGTAATAAAACGAATAAAAGATTAATTTTGAAACACAAGTTGACACAAAGTTGAACAAAATGCATATATCTTGTAGTTCACTTTACTCATCTTGTTTCTTGCAATATTTTTTTTCATTTGAACTGAACATCCTCTACCCCACCACCCCCAACATTCAGTGTTTTCTTTGGTTTAACGTCGGATTTTTGAAGAGTGCATTTGCTCCTTATTCCTTCAACAGCTCTGGGTGGCAGTTATGGTGGCAATATTCAGTATGTTAGCAAATGCAGTGACAGCACATTCGTCTTATGGAGGATCGTTTGCCAGAGGTAAACTTATAACTTTTATTTAGCTGACTTTTTGTAGTAAAGCTGGAACAGTTAATAAAAATTTTATCTGTGCATTTTTTTCCCCTAAGGCTCAACTTGATTTAAAACCTGCTTGAAATCAAGTGGAATACTTTCAGTAGGCTTTCCTTCAGGCCATAAATCAACTATTGTGCCTTGTTAAGTAACTTGTCTAAATAGTCCTTATCTCCTCTTTACTATCCTGGGCCTCTCTTGTTACCTTGTGCTGTTGGCATAAACTAACTATTCAACACACTATCTTCTGGTTCTTGCAAGGTTGACAAATCATTCTTCCCAGACTGCAAATGTTTATCGGAAACCAAATATGCCTTTTTTTTTTTTTTTCTTTATCTCTGGTAGACCAAGAGATTTAATCTTTCTTGTTAGTCGCAGACTGTTTCATTTTTGTATTGCTTTCAGGTTAAAGTATTGCTTTTGTTTGTACCTGTGGTTAACCTTGGAAGCCACCTGGGAACCTGAGCCTTTGCAGAAACTAGTTACGTACCCTTTGGGATTTTGTCAGCAGAAGGGGAACTAACCGTCATGCAGCTAACTACACTGATTCGGTTTAGCTATTCAAGTCTTATTCTGTGTCAGAAGCGCGTTAATTCAGGAATACTTGCGTGCGAGCTATTCCTGGAGGAGTGTGGCTAGCTTGAAATCGCGATGCCGGTCATTACACGTGCCGACTTGGGGCGGGTGTGCAGCTGGTAGTGCCCTGTGCTCTGCGCCGCTGGCTCCTCTGCTGCCCGACGCTGCCTGCGAGGGCAGTGATTCATGCTTGGTTAAGCTGAAACACTGACGTGCGGTTCGACTGACCGTTTTTGGTCTGCTACCTATTTAAACATATTAGTAAGAGGCTTTCGTTGGAAGCTCACTTCTCAAGTTCACTGGAGATACAAGCGTGTGAATTCGGTTAGCCATGTCTCTGGGGGGGGACAGCCCTCGCCCCCCACCCCCCAATTCCTGGAGCCCCTAGAGCTGAGTTTATTAACAGGTTTTGTCTGGCAGTGTCCTTGGACATGTGTGACACTGCATGGGGGGTACGCTGTATTTGTGGTGTGAACTTTGATAATTCTCTCAACATCCAATGTATGAAATGTAAAACAAATTTAAATACTAAAGTTTTTTTTTAAAGGTGTAGTAGTGTAGAATATCATGAGCGTGACAAGGAGCAAAAAAATTTTTATGACGTTTAGATACCTGAAGAGGTGTATAGATATCACTTAGCAAGTCCTGTGTCAAAGATCCCTTGTAAATAGATTCCTGAAAGCCTTTTTACAAATCTAGCAGGAGTTGTTACTTGTTGCTTACTGCCATGAGACTTACGCCAGAGTCATGCACATAGATGTTGAAAATTTTATCCATAAACAATAAAATCTTAAAGATAATGTAATGTAAACATAACATTTTAACTTGTGGAAACTGTATTTTTTTTTTCTCTATTTGTTCCTTTCTGTATGGGCTTTCTTGAGTTTGTCAGTTTCTACCACAATGGCAAAATCTTAATGCCATGGAAAATGTGTTGTTGAGTTTTCCTAACACAAAACTTCCTTTTTTGCAGTGTGATTGCTTGGGAAAGCAACAGAAACTACCTGGCTTGGTAAAGTCTAAACTTGTAATAAAACACTAGAGTGACTAGGCAGTGATAACAGGACACGGCTCTGCCCTTGGCTACCAACCTACACAGCAGTTTGGTAGAAATGACGTGTGGTTTCTTGTGCTAGGAGACCAAAAATACTGGAAATGAGTGGTACATGCTTTAAGAACTGTGTCACCATTTTAAAAATAGGTTTTGAAGGGAAAGAACACAAGGCAAAAAGGTCACTTTAATAGGTTTTTATTTTTTTCTATATGATGGTTTCTGTTGAATATTTAGTTGTAAAGTGGAGTTGGGTTGGTGTAAAAAACAAATCACTGAGAGCCAAATCTGGATGAAACAAGGAGGTGAAGAACTCGCCTCTCCTTTTCCAAATGTGGTTTAGGGCATACAGGTGGTTATTCTTATTATATTCCATCATATGTGGGTAACTTGGGTGACTGCACATCTTTTGACTGATTCAGAAAGCATGACTGATGAATGGAACATCATAACCACTGCCGCCCTGTCATGTATTTTCAGAGTGATATTGATGTATCATCTAACACATAAGAAGAAATCCGTTCATAAAGCAGTAAATGAGTATTTGTCAGCACGCTGCAGATGTTCTCTGTGAGTCTCAGGTGTGTGCTCCGTCCACAGCTGCTTGGAAGAGACAAATAAATCCAGGAAGGTGCCAAGAGTATCAGCTGGGCATGGGATTCATCGAGTCCCTGAGTTTCACACTCATCACTTCCCAGCAAAAGGAAATAATGTAGTGGGTTTTCATTGTAGGGAGAATATAGAGCACATAAGTGCTGGAATTTTTCTGGCTCCTTCTGCATTTAATCTTACTTTCAGGTAACTCAAGTTGCACTATTTAGAATTGCACACAAGAGCTGGTTTGTGATTGGAAGTGCCATGCGTGTGGGAGTTTTCTGAAGGGAGGATAGAAAATTTACTAAGAAATAGCACCTTCGTTTTTTTTTTTTATTGAATCTCTCTTCTAATTAACAGTATGTATTTCTCTATGTACTCGACATGATAATTCTAGG